TATAATCTCGAGGTTTTAGTAAAGAGTATTTTTATTTTTATAAATAATACATATACATTAATTTAGTTCAAATTGAAATATTAATTAACAATTTATAAATTTTAAGATACATATCATGCTCAAATTTATAAATACTAAGTACTAAAGCAATTATTCTATTATTAATATCTTTATTTGTATAAATTTCTTGAGATTAAAAAAATTGATATAAATGTGGATTTATGAAATTATTTATTCTATTAGTTTATAAAATATTATTTTTGAATATCATGCTTTTATTTTGTTGAAATTATTAAACACAACTGTAATTTCACCACATTGCATGTGAAGACCAGAATAGAAAAATGTTATTTTATTTCATTAAATTTCATAAGATGAAAAGTGGCCTAATGGATCAAGCATATGGATAAAGCTTTAATGTTGGGTGATTTGTGTTCAAATTCTTGTAGTTGAATTTTTTACAAATAAGCGTGCATGTGGAAAACATGCTGATTTGTATCAGCCTGTATTTTATTGCTCTGAGCGCGATTCAAGGAATATAGGTTAAGTCGTATCATATCCCGTATCCCCTCTAGAGTATCCCATATCATATTTAAACCCTTGATTAAAGGTGGTTGAAAGTCGTTGACAATTAAGGTTCCCTCCACTTCCACGTGGAGGAACCATAAGGCTATGTTTGGTTTGAAGGAAAAAGTAGTTTGTAGTTTATCATCACAAAGTCATGAAAGAAGATCACACTTTTTTAGAAAGTAACCTCAGAAACAAACACTTTATTCCATTAACTGAATTCTAAAATTTAAATAGCGCCTACTCTAATTATAGAATATAGACTAAAGCTTAAGGTCTCAAATCTCTCTTTACATGCTCTGAATTCAATTAGGAAACTAACCCAAAACAGCTTCTAATTGCTTCAGAATTAAGACAACACAATATGTTACCGGTTGAAGTGAACAATGTTAACAAGATTCCTTTGGGAGTCCTAACTTTTCTTTGCAAGAGAGATGTACAAGTAGAGTATCATAATCGAGGGTTAGGATTGATCTTTCTTTAGGGCATTAGGATTTAAGAAGGCTTACGAACAAAGGGTAGGAGAGTGGTGAACAGGAAGATGAAGGATTGGTTAATTAAGAAGATGATTCAGCACAATCACCATTAGGATTCAGATAAATTTATTTTTAAACTAATMTATATCGTTATTGTTGTAGGCGCTAAGTCTGAGATGATGACCAATATCAGAGCACAACATAGGCTCAATCACCCTTTGGGCCAGAAATCATATGTAGCACACCTCCATCAACTTAAAACTATTGTAGGAAAAGATGGAGAACTTCATGACTGAGCAGGCACAACTTGGCATACCATTTGAGCCCATTGGTGCTCATGATGTGATTAGCGAGGTCTTAGGAAAGGAGCATCCATCACAAGTAGACCTGTTCATGGGCCAGGTAGTCCGATGGCCCGGCCCGCACTCTGGTCGGGCCTGGTCATGTAATTAGGCCCGCGGGCCTGACCTCGGGCCAAACACGGTAAGTCTGACTGTGTATCGGGCCGGGCTTGGGATTTGTCAAAAAAGCCCGGCCTGAGCCTGGCCCAAATCCGATAAACTATTAGGAGTTTGATTCATTTTTCATTTGCTCACATCATTTAGTGTGAAAATAATTTTATATTTCTTTGTGTTTTGTAACAGATGCAACAGCCTAGAAGAAAGCCATCTCAAGTGTCTACAAGAGAGGGGGGAATGGGAAGGGCAAGGGAAAAACCCTCTTTTGATGAGTGTTCTATTTTCCTTTTTTGTAATCTTTTAATTTCATTTGGACTAAAATGTGAACAGTTAAAATATATATTACCTTTTATTTAATACTATATTTCAATTTTTAATGATATTAATGATCTTTTATTTTGAATAGTTATTACATGTGATTTAATGAATGGATATAAGATTTTCATTCAAAATGAATGTATATAATTGATTTAAAAACTAAGTTACTATAAGCTCCATACTGGTGGAGGTGTTTCCACATTTAAATAGGTTTTTGTGACGTTTCAAAAAATGTCACTAAAATAAACAAATAAATGTCACTTTTAGTGATGTCTGCGAAACGAATGTCACAAAAATAACAAGTAAATATCACCAAAACTATACATGGATAAATCTTGAAATCTTTTAGTGACGTTTGCAAAAATGTCACAATAATTAAAATAAACGTCATGAAAACTTTTGCCAACACTACATTTGGTGACAAGTGAGCAAATTAAAAGTCACGAAAACATTTTCTTGATGTTTATCTAACATCTATATATATATATATATATATATATATATATATATATATTTTGTAATGACTTAAGCAGTTTCTCATAAGCATACATCTCTAATCAAGGGTAGAGCCAAGTATATTGGTTGGGAGGGGGGGGGTCCTTATTGGCCCCCCACACTTTTTGTTAAATCAATATTTATATATAGTTACCAAGTACAGGTAAGGTAAAAAAAGGTCAAAAATTTTAAAGTATCCCTCCAACTCACAAAATTAAAAATCAATAAAGATCATTGGGTGACAAGGAGGGGCATGTTTTTGAGCCCATGTGTGGGTGAATCATCGTTGAGGAATGACAGTTGGTCTTGGAGATGAAACTCATCAATCAGATCACTACCACCGCCATAGAAAGGAGAAGCCAAAGTAGTAGTTAACAAAGATGATGTGGGCAGACGAGACCCCATGACCATGTTGTTGATGCCATTTATTCTCGCTGAGTAGGAGGCAAATGAATTGGAACTAGGACTTACAAGGTCATCATGGTTGGGGTCATTGGGGATATATGAGAAGGTGGAAGCAGTCCAAGACAACGATAGTGATGGTGATGATTGCATGAAGAGGGAATGAACAAGGTTGAGGCCATTGCCATGCATTTGCAAAGAAGGATCCTGTCTAAAATTGGAAGAGTTGGAGTTGCTGGAAAGGAATGGGGATGAAGTCAAAGGCATGGATTGTGTTGAGGCCTTGAGGGTATTTTAATAAATATAAGGGCAAAATAGGCATTTAAAAACTAACAACATTAAGTTGACTTTTCTATCTAAAACGGTAGGTAGCTGCATATTTTCTAAAAAGTATGGGGAGGTTTTTATTAAAATGAAACTATTGGAGAGGTTTTCATGATGTCAGAAAACTTAAGGGAGATTTTTTTATTTTACCCAATAATATTTTGCGTGGACTTGGTATGCTCTCAAAGTCAAGCTCAAAAATGATAGTTTTACCAAGATGAGATGTGGGGCTTACATATTCTAATAGTTTAATAAAATAAATTATTAAAAGTAGGACAAGAGACAATCTCAGTTTTCCTAACCAAAGAAATTTCGCATTCTTCTGGTTTCTTTGGTAGATTATTTATTGAAAATTAACCAAATGCGCTTAAAAAAAATAAAAACCGAATGTGAATTAGAGAACTGTACCCAATTTAATTACTTAATGCCAACTTAGTGTTATTATTATTTATTGTTTTAAAATTTACGTGACTAGTTAAACTAAGCAATATGTCAGTGTCAATTAATGAACAATGTTATATATAGTTTGCTTAATAATATTTTAAGTGGACTCAGTATGAACTCAAAAGTCAAGCTCAAAATCATATATAGTCTTACCAAGATGAGATGTGGGGCTTACATATTTTAATAGTTTATTATTAATATAAATTATTAAAAGCAAGATAAATAAGATACAATCTCACGTTTTCCTAGCCAATGAACTAAATGTTTTAAAAGCCTGCATTGTGATTCAAAGAAAACCAATGTGAGTTTATATAAAAAATGGAACTCAATGAAGTATTGGTTGCACATGACAAGCTGACAACTAGCTAGTAGTGTGACTTACAAGATAGCTAGCCCAAAGAAAGAGGCTTTGTATTAATAATCTTTCGTACCAATCGAGGGCTGATTCATTGATGTATTAACTGGTTTGTTCCACCGTAAGTCCAGCAATCAAACACTTGTATTTTGTATGGTTTGAAGGAAAAGGTAGAGAAAGGAAGGGGAATATAGGGAAATCTATATAACATTTATAAAGATTTCTGTACTTTTTCCTTCTTTTTCCTATTTTTTCTTTCAAATCAAATATAGCCTCAAACGAAAGTTATTAATGATGCATAACACCAAATAACCAATAAAAAAATGATTGGTGGTAGTAATTTAGGCACGAAAATTGCCTTCCAACTTGATCTCTATAAATTCAATGATCACCGAATTGAATTGGTCATTCAAGTACATTCAGACCTTGACTTGGTCATATAGGAATATTCTAATCCATTGGCAGATAGGCACGTTATTTTTTGCATTCTGCTAGTGGGTCTGTACACACCCTGTCACTAACCCCCTAACTGTAATAGGGTGGGGACTGGGGGCCAAGATTTTGTGACAGAAAAAAGCATGTTAATTTCAGAATAATCCTTAGCTCACCTCACAGGACTTGCAATTGGGTATTGTGAAAATCTCCCATGAATATATACAAGCACGGTGAACCAATATTTGGTTCATTGATAGAAGTATGGATGTCAATGGATCAGATTTGGATGGAAATCAATTTAAATGAAAACGAATTTAAACACATTGGACGGTCAAGACATTAAATTGGACATTCTCCAAAACGGTCCAAAGTATTTATCCAATTGAAATGGACCTTGTCCATCAATAATTAATGAACTTATATTGAATTGGATTGGATTGGACCAAATAGGGTCTAATTGACACTCCTCTTTATAAGAGCAATTAGCCATAGATAACTTCATTTCATCTAATTCAAGGTGGAGGAAACCAAACAATGTATTGAAGACTCTTTAATTTCATGGTTTTAACGTGGGGCTGAACTCTTTATCTCTTTTCATTAATTGTTATTACTGTTGAAGTGAGCCCCAACACATTTGTTTGATAGCTTTTTTGTCTTTGTTTTCTTTTTTATACTTCTTATTTCGCTTCATTAATCGTTTATTTATTTATATTTAGGATAACATGATTGTAGAGAAGGCATTTATAACTCCTCAATCCAACTAAAATGTCGTGGACAAATCGCAGAGAGAGAGAGAAAGAGAGATGGCTTGGAAGAATCTATCTGTTCTTCGCATCGTGTTGGTAATCCTATCGCTCTCTCTGACTGTGGCATCAACTTCTTCTCAGAGTTTGGCGAAGCCTGGCTGCCAAGAAAAATGTGGGAAAGTGAGCATCCCATATCCCTTTGGGGTTGGAAATGATGATTCAGACTGTTTCAGAGACTCAAATTTCCACTTAGTTTGTAACACTTCATCTGGCGATCCAGTGCTTCTTCATTCTGGTGGAGGAAACATACCCTTCCGGAATATCTCGTTAGAAGGCCAATCCACTGTCTATTTCCGGATTGCTAGCGACTGTTACAATGAGTCTGGCGGCAGAACTTCTGACGGGTCCGAAAAAGTAGATATCACACTGGCAAAAATATCCAGCTTCTCGAGCACCCGAAACAAATTCACGGCGATCGGTTGCGACACCAAGGCCTACATGTCGAGTTCATTGTCATCAGGTTATTCTTTTACGAGCGGTTGCATCTCAGCTTGTTCGACCAACGAAATTCTGATTAATGGTTCCTGTTCCGGCATTGGATGCTGCCAGACTTCCATTCCAAATGGTCTTCATACCTATAACGTCAGCCTCTCCAGCTTTTACGACCACACCTACTCGTTGGACTTCAATCCCTGCAGCTATGCCTTCCTGGCTGACCAAGATTGGTTTAATAACTTCAATTTCTCCTCACCCGACCTCATGGATCTCCCCAAGAAGARGCTTCCGATCCGTTACGACGGAGCCCCTGTAACTCCAGTGGTGCTGGACTGGGTAATCCCCGACGACAACTGCACCTATGCAATAAAGAATCGGACGAGCTACGCATGTGGAAACAACACCTATTGCTCCGATTCCTCCAACCCCACCGGCGGCTATAATTGTCACTGTAAGCAAGGTTACCGGGGGAACCCTTATCTACCCCAAGGATGCCAAGGTGATGATGGCGACCTCTCTTAATAATTTTTTGTTTTCACAATTCATTTCACCCTACTGAGAATTAATAACTTCCATTCATGGCTGGTTTTGCATGTAGACATTGATGAATGCAAGGAAGACAATAACTGCACACATATTTGCACAAATACAGTGGGGAGTTACTCTTGTTTGTGTCCCAAGGCGACTCACGGTGACGGATTGTACGGAGGATCTGGTTGATCCAAGTTTGTCAATTTTCTAGTATTTTAGGTCGGTTTGGTTCAAAAATTTCCTAATTCGACCAAGTTGGATCAATTTCACTTTGGCCATTTGTAAACCAACCAAAATTGAATGACATAACCATGGATATATATTAGTATTTTATATTTTAAATATAATATGCTAAAATGTTTTATATCATAAATATAATTTTTAACTTTATTTTTTAATAATTACACTATAGTTTTTAAAATTAAATTTAATTTWAAAAGTTAAAATATTTTGAATCAATTGGCCAAACCAAAAAATCGACCCAAACAAATACAATTTGAGTGGGTTGGTTTTCACAAAAGGTTAGTTGGTTTTAACTGACCAACTCCCCAACCTCACCAGGTCAATTTGGTTGGCCAAATAGCCTACGAACAAACCGAACCTACTCATGAATGCTCATAATTTTAGCTAAATTAATATTCTCATCTCTCATAAATAACAATAGTTTAATATCTAATAATAATTGAAACTTTATAGCAAAAATACACAATTATTGAAAATATATTGACAATGAAAAAAATACAATAAGTACAAAAAATATATTGACTTAGTCAATAAAAAGTAAAATCYCGAATAAATATTAAYCAATAAGTTATAACAAAAACACAATAAGTACAATAAATTAAACTTAAAAATTTCACAAATAGTAGTTTAATCTCCAATAATTAGTGAAAGTTTTCTATTAAATAACAAAACAAAATAMATTTATAAATATATTGAAAATACATTTATCACAAAAATAATAAATAATTACTGAAATACAATAAATAYTAATTTTAGTATATATAATTACACAATAAATACAGATTAAGAGTTTAAAATTATTATCAATAAATATTAATTTTTTTGAAAGTTATTTTCTCGAATTATTACTTGATTTAAGTGAAATTAKTTATTTACAATATTATGTAAAAATATTAAATTATTATTAATTTTAGTATTATGTTATAATTATTTTTCTACTTTTCAATGTTTTTTTTTTAAATTTATTACATAATTTATTTACATTAACTATTTAAAATCTAGTTATATTAAATATTTTGTTATTTAAAATACACAATTATTTATATACTTAAATAATATGTACAGTATTTAAATTTTAAAATATTAATTATTGATGGAATTTAATTATCCATAAAATYGTAATTTATACTATTATTACATAATTTCATTATTAATTTCGTAATATATTAAAAAATTATTATTTTCAATATTATGTTATAATTATTTTTTTGCTTTGAAGAAGTTTTTTTAAATTTATTACATAATTTCGTTATTTTAACTATTTAAAATCTTGTTATGATAAATATCTAGTTATTTAAATATTTAAATAATCTATAAAATATTTAAATTTTTTATAATTTGAATTTTACTTATTCTAAGCTATTACATATTATTAAATGTTTGAAAAACATTTAAATTGATGATCCAGAGAAAACATAATTTAAATTGTTAGTACCTAATTTCATGATAAATTTTGTAAAAATATAAAATTATTTATTAGATAATTTCGATATTTTAGCTATTGAAAATAAGTTATGATAAATATTTAGTTATTTTCATATTTAAATAATCTATAAAACAATTAAGTTTTTTGTTATTTGAATTTTATTTATATAAAGCTATTACATATTATTAAATATTTGAAAAGCATTTAAATTGATAATCCGAGAAAACTTAGTTTAAACTATTATTACATAATTTTCTGATATACTTTGTAAAAATATAAAATTATTTTTGTGTTAATAAATATTTTAATGTTATTATATAATTTTGTTAGAATATTTAAAGAATTCTTAATTTTTTTTAATCCAAACTTTCTTAAGATAGATATACATAAAAAGTAGGGGAGAKGATAAATAAGAATTATAGATAATTTAGGAGAGAAACTCTCTACTAAATTAGAGATAATTGTGGAGATAAATAGGAATTAGAGATAATGTAGAGAAATTGGAGGAGGTAGTTTAGGATAAATTTTAGGAGAAAAGATTATTTAGGTTATTGGGAAAGTGCATCTGATTGGTTGTTTCAAAAATGACATAGAATAAAAAAACAAAAAATTCAATAAAAGTAGAAAATTTCTTGACCCCTTTGTTTTAATGTTAGCATAGCACTCCTTGCAAGAAAMCCCCCTTCCTAATTTTCTGTTTTTTTTTTGAATTTTTTATTTTTTACTTCCACATAATTAACCATTAAACGAATAAGGAAATCACAAATACCTAACTATTTCTAACAACCATAAAGCTTTTCTAATGTTTAGTTAAGTGGCATAACTTTCCCTTGCTTCCTCATAAATTGTTTCTAATTCCTATTTATCTCCTGAATTATCTCTAACTCCAATTTATCTCTTAAATTATCTCTAATTTAAGTTGTAGGTTGTTTCGCTAACCAAATCGATCTGGTCAAATCCGCAGTTTGTCATTCGAAACCGATTGATCATTACTAAAAACCCACCAACTCAGGTTGTATCAATTTGGGTCTATTTTTGGTTTATTTTGTGTGTTCAAAAGATTTAAACTTAAAAATTAACTTTAAATTTCATAAATTACAATGATATTATTAAAAAATAAATTACAAAATTAAATTACAATGATATTTTTGGTCAGATTGTTTATTAAAATGTTATATACTCTTATAT